GCTCCTGGAGGAAGAGGAACCAATCCTCCCACTCCAGATCATCTGGGAGTCCAAGCAGATTCCTAAAGTGGCCTTTTTCCAATGGAGATTATACCTCAACCTACTCCCATTCCCCACTACCCTCACTAAATTTGGCAATACTAGCCTCCCCTCCATTTGCCCTCTATGCTACAACAACGAAGACTCGGCATACCAGACACTAATTCAATGCACCTACTCAAGACACATCTGGAAATACTTTGAATGGATATTCAAAATACCATGGCAACCCTTTCATGGAATAAACACATACCTTCAAAGCTGGTGGGCCAATTTCAAAACAACCAACCTTCTGGATTGGATCAAAGGCATCCTACAAGGAATCATTCTCCATAACATCTGGAAAGAAAGGAATAGAAGAATTCACAATAACTCACACTGGTGCAATCGGAAACTAATACAGGAATGTGTGGGTCATCTCCAAACTTGGATCGTCAGCAGAGCTCTAAAAAAACTGAAGAAACCACTAACCTGGAGACTCCCGGAGGAAATTACGTTGATTCAACCGCTCTCACACCACCCCAAAATCCACAGATGGACTAACATTCCGAAAGACTGCCTTCATCTCTCAACAGACATCTCCGTCTCTAATGGCAGAATGCTCAGCGCCGCAATCCTGCGCAATGGACTTGGAAAATTTATGGCGGCAAGTACCTGGAAACTCTGCGTAACTAACCCCCTGGAAGGAGAAGCAATGGGTCTTCTATTGGGCCTAACTTGGGCTAAACACTTCTCGGAAAATATTTGGGCCCATTCGGACTCGGAGATCACCGTCAAAGGTATACACAAACATTCAAACCCGGGTTTAACTCCCGACCTCTGGATCCGCCTCTATAAAGCGTCACAACAACAAGGTGCCAAAATCAGACACATCCTGAGAGAAGGCAATTTGGGAGCACATACTTTAGCAAGATGGAGTAACAAACACTATGTTTTTTCATCTTGTATCTCTCTTTCCACTCTTCCCACCTTTGTCAAAGGAGCCATTACGGCAGATGCAACTCTTCCTTTTATTCGTTAAATAAATATCCTTTTCATTATATATATATATATATATATATATATATATATATATATATATATATATATATATATATATATATATATATATATATATATGGATTGGTTTCTGTGAGAATGACTCTTAGTGAAAGAAATGAGAATAAATAATACACGTTGATATTGTAGATCTAAGGGCCTTAATTTGATCTAAAAAGTGGCGCCATTCACTAATAAATATGGTAAATAATTACTCGTGCCCTTTAATTTAGGAACGAAATAGTAGAGAGGGGTATAATAGTAAGTTTCATACGTATAAGAGAATGGTACACATTAAATTCCATTACTTCTGCCGTTATTACCATAGATGACATATTCATACGTGTCATATTAATCATTTCTTTTTTTAAATAATGCACATAATTAATATGGAGTAGTTATCTTATTAGTGATTTCTCTTTTTTTATTTTCTGCTTTTTCAATAATGAATAATTTTTACTATTGAACTCTTTGTAACATTTTATTTTTTTTGCTTCATTTTATAGCATTTCTCACGGTGCTAGAATTTAATTTATTATTTGCAGTAATATTTTTTATAGAAAATAAAATTTAGTCTACAATTTCTCTCTCTTCTAAATACTATTCTACCACCTTTTTTACTTTTCCTCACTTTAACATTTTTATGATTAATCACGCAATTATGGTGCAGTTGACAATGATTTTAGTTATTTATAGTAAATCAATGACATTTCGTCACGTTATAGTTTCTTTTATCTTTATGCACTATTCTCTTATATAGCTGCAATACGTATTGTAAATTATGCATGCACTGTGATAACTGATATATCCATTGAAATTTGTCCTTTATATTTTATTTATAATTTGTTCTATTAACTTGTAGATTAGTGAATAATAACTGTATTTGATGAAAAAACTTGAGACTGTGTTGTACTCAGAACAAATGTAATACAAATTTGAAAAATAATTTGCGTATGTGGGATTCAAACTCACATTTGTAGTGCATAACGCTTTGCCATTTGAGCTAATAGGCAATCATTTATTTTATCAAAGAGACTTTCATCTTGCACTTGGACCTTTTACATACACATTTTAATCTTTAAAATTTGCTTCACTCAATGTGTTTCAAAGCCATATTCACATGTATCAGAAAACATGTTAAATGCATCATCGTTTACAAAAAAATCACTATCTAGCATATATAGGTGCATCATATTTGTATCGGGATACAACAACTTTGTTTATTAGAATGCACAGTAACACAATGCATTCTCCTTCAGCTTGATTTTGAGAATGCATTGCCTCCTTATGTAAATGCATTACAGTGATTCTGATAATGCACAATACCAAAAAAAAACAAATAATTTAGGAGGGATAGGAAGAATCAATTGTGGGTGGGTGGGGGGCAAGGGTGAGTGTAGGCAGGAGCGAGAAAACATGGGAGAAATTTTTAGAGGGTGGTTAGAAAGGGTAGAAATAATCAATTTTATAATCGGAGCACCGTAAGTACCCTAAATGAACCAATATCTAAGAAGTGGTGTAATTTTTAGTGGTGCCAAAATAAATTATAATTGGACGGATTTGGAAATCAAACCTTTCTAAAGTACAAAAATCTAATCAACCATGGAATTGATTGGATAAACAAGGAGATTTGAATACACAGCACATGTCCTATGAGAAGATGGAGAAGTTTTTTCTGATTGGTAAACCTAATCCACCATACAATCATTAAGCCGCACATTTTGGATCTCATGAGCAAATTTTTCGGAAATAAACTGAAGAGCATCGATACCAATTTGAGAGAGATCTGATTTACCCAACCCAAACAACGATCGAGAAACAAATGGGAAGGTACAAGGGATTTCCGGGAGTGTCCTTCACTGCTGCAGAGGTGAAATCACTCTCGATTC